TCTGGGGTTGGTCTAGTTATTCAAAGATGCCCTCAAGGAGCTGGGTTCTTTCCTTCCTTCTACTTTGTCTTCAGGCTTGTGACTCATGATCACAAGGTGGATGCTGTAGCTCTGGGCATCATACCCCCTACAAGGATATCAGAAGCAGAAAGAGAGAGGCATGCAGGTAGAGCTTCTTTTATGTGTCTTTCTCCTTTTATTAGGAAATAAAAGCTTTCCTGGAGGTCCCCTAGCAGACTTTTATGTCTCATTGGTCCAAACTGTCTCACTGTCCACCCTAGACTAATCAATAAGAGAATGGAAGTGCCATAATTTGTATATCCCAAATAGAATCCATCTGCCAGGGTTGACCTGTAATCAGCTGTGCTCAACTCATTATAGCTGAGTCTTGCAAAGGGCAGGGCTGGGGAGTAGGCTGCCTCATGGTCCTGGATCCTGTGATTCTAAGTGCTTGGCCTTTAAGTTTCTCTGTTATCCTACAGGGACTAGTTGTGTTATTCACATCTTTGGTGAGGCAATGGCAAGGAATAAGATTTTTAATTTTATCTAATTTTTTTTTTTTTAGTTGTCATTGGACATAATGCCTTTATTTATTTATTTTTATGTGGTGCTGAGGATCGAACCTGGGTCCTGCCCGCGCTAGGTGAGTGCTCTACTGCTGAGCCACAATCCCAGTCCCCAGGAATAAGATTTTTTTAAAGGAAGGCTTTACATTCCTGAATAATGAAAGAAGCAGAAAGGCTTGGAAATAGATTTACTGGCCAAGAAAAATTCAGTGAGCAACTGAGCCCGGCAGGTCATTTATAGTATAGGTCCACAAATGAGGGCCTTTACTATAAATAGAGATTAGTAACTGGGGAGGCCGAGGCAACAGGATCACAAGTTCGAGGCCAGCCTCAGCAACTTAGTGAGACCCTGTCTCAAAAATAGAAAGGGCTGGGGATGTGGCTCAGGTTCGATTCCTAGTAATAAACACACACAGTATGAGGCCAAGACCCCAGTAAGAAGTATTACTAGTAAGCAGAATCTTTCAGACAACGAATGAGTATAAAATGACCATTTTATTAAGGAACTCCTGTGTATCAGGCACTGTGTTAGGTCTGGGAATCCCAGTACAAAGGGACATGGTCCCAGTCCTTAGGAGACTGACATTCTGATTGAGGCAAAATATATGTAACAGATAAGCAGGCTCTATTATAAGTGTGTGTCTGGGACCAGAGTCAAGTAGCCACCTTTTACCAAAGAAGTGATTAGGAAAAGAAGTGATCACTGAAAGACGAATAGCTCTTTTGGCTGTTGTTGAGGACAGCACGATTCAGAAAGGAACCATCAGTCAGGGAAGGCAGGCACTGTAGAGGTGGTCCGAAGGCCTGGAGGGCTCTGCAGGCCTTGCTGAGAGAGCTTTGCCCTGCAGGCAAAGTAAGTTGATATTTCTCATAGACAAGTCTTAAGATACCATGAATCAAGTTAGTTTCCAGTTTCCTCCCTCCCAAGAGGTTACAGAAAAATTTATTTCATTTAGTTAATGCATTACATTGAGTACAATTTATACATTACATAGGTATTATGGGCCAGTTACTAGTATTTCCAAATTTTTATCAAATCCACTGCTAGCAGTGCTCTACAGAGAGGATATTGCTGGAACGTTTCTTTGCCAGCAATTTGTAGAGATACTCGGAAATGTTCCTGCCCATCGTCTGAAGCAAATAACCTGTATTATTTGTAGGAGAAAGATTATTGCTTAGAGCCACAAGCAGTGTCACCTGGTACCAGGGGCTCCAGTGTTCATTTCTTTTTTTTTTAATTTATTTTTTAGTTATCGGCGGACACAACATCTTTGTTTCGTATTGTGGTGCTGAGGATCAAACCCGGGCTGCACACATGCCAGGCGAGCGCGCTACCGCTTGAGCCACATCCCCAGCCCCTCCAGTGTTCATTTCCTTATGCCTGTGTTTAAGTGTCACCTCATCAATGAAGCCTCCTTTGACCAATCTCTTGAAAACTTCTGTCCCTGCCAGTCCTAACTTTCCTCTTTGTGCTTCTTCATTTTTTATACCACATGCATCTCCATACTGTTTGTTCATTATTTCCCCTGCTAGGATGTAGGTCTCTTCACCTTTAGCAGAGATGGGATTTGTGTGTTCTTTTCATTGGTGTTATCTCAACTACCTAGAGCAGCACCTTACAGAAGACTTAGACTAAAGATTGGTACTGAAGTCATTACAGTTACCCCTTAAAGGTATCTATGCCTTTTTTTTTTTTTTAAAGAGAGAGGGAGAGGGAGAATTTTAATATTTATTTTTTAGTATTTGGCGGACACAACATCTTTGTTTGTATGTGGTGCTGAGGATCGAACCCGGGCCGCACACATGCCAGGCGAGCGCGCTACCGCTTGAGCCACATCCCCAGCCCCTATCTATGCCTCTTGTCATGGTCCTTTGTCACTTAATAGAAATGAGTTACTAGTTCAAGAATGAAAATCTTACTAACAAGCTCTACTTATACTTGCTTATCTCTCTAGTATTGTAAGTACTGGCCATGGTGCTCTGGTGGGTGAACCTGACAGGCTTTTAGGGCAGAAGGGCCATGGAATAAAAGCAGAGGTAGGCTCTCGGGCTTTGGTTGCAGAGTACTGTAAATTGACCATAACAGATGATGTTTTTTGAACAGGTATAAGAGTTTGGTCACTGGGACCCGAGCAAGAGGAGTCATCGCAGTGCTCTGGGTCCTTGCCTTTGGCATTGGATTGACTCCATTCCTGGGGTGGAACAGTAAAGACAGTGCCACCAACTGCACGGAGTCCTGGGATGGAACCATGAATGAGAGCTGCTGCCTTGTGAAGTGTCTCTTTGAGAATGTGGTCCCCATGAGCTACATGGTGTACTTCAACTTCTTTGGATGTGTCCTGCCCCCACTGCTCATCATGCTGGTGATCTACATCAAGATCTTCATGGTGGCCTGCAGGCAGCTGCAGCGCATGGAGCCGATGGACCACTCCAGGACTACCCTCCAGCGGGAGATCCATGCCGCCAAGTCCCTGGCTATGATTGTGGGGATCTTTGCTCTGTGTTGGCTACCAGTACATGTCATCAACTGTTTCACTCTTTTTCAGCCAGCCCAGGCTAAGGACAAGCCCAAGTGGGCAATGAACATGGCCATTCTCCTGTCACATGCCAATTCAGTGGTCAATCCCATGGTCTATGCCTATCGGAACCGAGACTTCCGCTATACTTTTCACAAAATCATCTCCAGGTATGTTCTCTGCCAGGCGGATGGCAAGAGTGGGAATGGGCAGGCTGGGCCACAACCTGCACTCAGTGTGGGCCTATGACCCAGGCTCTGGCCTCTTGGAGGCCAAAGCCTCCAAAGGATAGGATACGATGGACTGATCCTGTGAAAGACAGCTACACCTCACAAGCATCTGGGCTCTCTTCTGAACACTTGTCTGGAGTTACCACATATCTAGCTAATATGTACATGCTGTTAGTAGACTCTAAGTGTCAACAAATGTATTTATGATTTTTCAGCTGCTCTTATTGTGTGGATGATGCTGATGGCTTGAATGGATTCTAAAAGACTTTTATTTTTGAGTCTGCCTGATTCATGGAAGAAAATGACTGAAATCTTTTACTGTGAATACTGTGAACTATTTTAATGCAAATATTTTTTAACTTAAAGGCAATGGAAGAATAAAAAGTTGGTTGTTCTAATGTAAACTTGTTCCCAGAAAGGCTACCAAGAATACTAAAAATGTAATTCTTTAATCAAGAAACTGCTGTATTAATCTGGGGATGATAGTCTCCTAAATTCTTAAGCAGAATTATCATCAAGTAACAATTTTAGGTTCCATTCTACTCCATATACAACTGTACTCTAGAGGAAGAAACTGGACAAACAGGGTTCCCTCCTCTACTGGATTCCCCCTTTTAGAGCTAGGTACTGAATTTTATTTCTCTCCTAAGTTCAAGTTTGGCAAAACTGCTGGAACTCAAAAGAGTGTGAGAATTTTCCTAAGCAAAATCATGTATTTGTGTATGTATATTCAGTGAAATAAACTTTTATTTAAAAAATTAGTTTAGAATGCTGCATTACCTTGCTCACAGGTACAGCCATTGTCTACGATCTGAAGGCTGCTTTGTAAGGACAGGCTAATACTCTTTGTATGTTTCTGAAGTAGCAAGTCTTGGTAGATTTTTTATTTTTCTACACTGCAACATAATGAGACTCTGTCAACCACAACAGCACTGCAACTAGTATGGCCCTGGGCTTTCCTCAGCATTCATTCACTAATACCTTGTTTAGGGGTCCCAGGGATAAGGGGGTGTCCTAGGCTAGAAAATCATCTCTTTTATCTGCTTATCCATTGCTTCCCTTTCCACAATAATACTGCAGGTTTATGAACCCCTGCAGAGACCAGCCATCCTTGTCCCTCTCCGATCTTCTTCTAGCTGTTACTTTATTATGTATTTATTTGCTTTACTTATTAAGAAGTTCTTGTGCTGGGCTGAAGCCTGTCTCGTTTTCATCCTTATCCTACTGTTGCTCCTTGTTCTCTCTTGGGGTCCATCTGGGTCTCCTATCCACCCCCACCCTTTTAAAATTTATTCTTCAGACTCAAAATCCCTACTGGTATCTACAGCTTCCTTCCAGGACATGATTTGAAGTCTGTCCTTTTGTCTGTCCAGTTATAAGGTCCTGCTATACAAGCAGAATAAATCCAGCTCTGGCCTTGTTATAGAGGCTGCATCACTAGCAATACAGTCCACTTAGGCTGCTCTGGCACCAGAGCCACATATATCAGAAGGTGAGAGTCCTTTCAGACTTACTGTTGTTTGTTTGGCCATCTCTCTGCTCTGATCTTTTATTATTGCTGAGTAATTTTCTGGACCCCAAGAAAAGAACCCATACCTGTTCATCTAAACTTGCTCGAACTCAGTTTGACCAGCCACCCTAGCCTTTAAAGAATTACTACTAATTCAGTCACTTAAGAAGCAAACTAATTGTGGACACAGCATGGTATTGGACTTTATTTCAGGTTACAATGCTTAATTCCTTCCAGGGACATTTTTTGCCCAAGTGGCTCAGAGGCTGATTCAGGTTTTTCATGGGAAGATGTCATAGGCTCCAAACCATATTCACACTCTCCCTAGCCCATAGCTCCCAGAGTTCGTCCTGCAATCCAGGATGAAAAGGGAGAGTAACACAAGTCTCTGGAAGATCCATTTCATCTCTTTTCCTTGAGAACCATGACAGGTTGAATGCATTTCTCCATAGGACTTCTATTTTGAAAGACAATGACATTCCATCTGTACTTTTTTAAGCTTCTTGTTTCTTCTCTATCAATAACATGTCTGTCAGTTGTTTGTCAGAGACACTTAACTGCTGACAGGTCCTCATAACCTGACTAAGATAAACTGCCAAGAGATGCTTACACTGGAACACAAAACATAAAGACATATTAGGAACAAGCAGGGCTGTGATTGTCTAGTCTACTTCTCCTACCATTATATGAAAGGAAAAGGAAGTTTGCTGTGCTTTCAGTTAGGTTCTTCCTTCCTTTTAGAAAGGAAGGCAATGGCTAACATTCCTTGAGGTACTATGTTGTTCAGTGTTTCTCAGATTATCTCACTTATCTGACAGCTACCCATGAGGACAGGTATTAACTTCATTTTAACCATATGCTCAGAACCTATAGTCTATTCACTTAACCACTGTTATGTACTTGAGGGTCAGGGCTGAGGGTCAGGGAGGAGTTGTGGCAGAACTCTGGCATATCCCAGCCTGTCTGCTACTCTGGGGAGATGATGCAGTTGGACCTATGTCACAGAACACAGCTTCAGATCTTGAAGAGGTCCTCATTCAATCCTGTTATTTTATAGGTGATATATACTTATAGCACATGAGCTATGAATGCGGCCTCTTGCACAATGGGACATCCAACTTGGCATCCAGTTCCCAAGATGTTTAAGAAGTTAACAGAGTAAAATGAAGGGAAGAATGCAGTAGACTCCATTATCTTCTTTGCCAAGACTGAGAAATAGTGACCTTCTCCCAAGAGGCGATAAGGAGTGTGTGAATATGTCCTGCTCTTGCTTAATGCTCTGGACTCTGAGGAAATCAGTAAAGATTGAGAGGGACGGACAAAGGCATTCCTACCCCGTGTGAAGGTTGAGTGTAGCACCAGTCTATCTTACAGGTAGGAAGAAGCCACACCTCATGGCTGGAGTTGGGGTTATACAAGTTGCCAACATACAATTAGCTTCAAATTTTATTGGACCATCTATGTTCCCAGTCCCAACTTCCAGGACTGCCTTTCTATCCTCCCCAAAGCTGTGACCTTTCAAATAAAAAAGCAAGAAACCAATGTAGTTCTATAAAGGACATTTTGGTAGGCTAAGCCTAAAAATAAATAAATAAACAAACAAACAAATAAATAAATAAATAAAAATCACTGAAGTCAAGGAAATAAATTATTTATTTTAATACAGTAAAACTGCCACTTTGTGGCTGGGCCTGTTGGCACATACTGGTAATCCCAGCTACTTGTGAGACTAAGGTAGTATGATTGCAAATTCATGGTCATTCTGAGCAACTTAGCAAGACCCTATCTCAAAAAGGGCTGGGAGTGGAGTTCAGTGGTAAGCACCTCTGGGTTCAATCTCCAGTACTGAAGGAAAAAAATAAATTCCCATTTTGTGCAACTTTTAAACCATTAAATAAGGGCTAGCAATTTATCTCCTAACCTAACTGCGGTGGCAAGAGCCTTCCCCATCCTTACCAGTAGGCTTTCACTCTTCCGCAGCACTGAGAAGGCAAATGCAGGACACGAACAGTAATGACAAGAAGCCAAACATGTGTATGTTTTGCCAGAACTTCCTAGTACCTAGGAAAAAAGGATAGATACATCAGCTCTCAGAAGGTGTGCTTCTGGGTGTCATCTCTTTCCCTTTAACCATTTAATGATTCAAAGTCTCTGCAAACTGCACTGGAAAGAAATGCAGTACTATTTTACATAGAAGGGGAAACTCAACTTCTTTTCCTGGAGCATGCAAACTGCTCCTTACCTCTCAGTGCTCACCCTTTAGGACAGTGAGTGGAACTGAAGAGTTTCAGGCTAGTTCAACCATCCACACAAACCATTTGTTCCTATACTTAGTGATTCATAGGGCCTACTCCATGTGCTGACTATCAAGGTGTGAAGGGGAAATCTCTCATTTATATTTTATTGTGGGGTTTCTTAACATTTGGTATTTCACAGCATGTATGTTAAGTTTCTGAAGCTTCCACCACATACCTGAAAAGAGTGAAAACAGGTACAGAGTGAGTGGTTGGGCAGGAAGCAAGATAGGTCTCAGAAGAAAGTAGAAATGGGCTTTTGAAAAACATTTGAGGGTGGAGAGAATATAAAGAATCCTGCAAAAGGGATGACTCAGCTGCTCAGGATGGAGGTCTCCGGAAAAGAGGCAAGCCCAGATCTGCCCACTCTTTTAGCAGGATGGAAGGAGGATGTAGATATATGTGGGGTTGTTAAGAGGCTCAGTCTAAGAACAGAAAGCTTTGGTGGCAGTCAAAAGAACACAAAGGACAGGTAAAGGGACAATCTGATCTGTTAGTGGTGTGATTGGACAAATTTAGTGTTATATCCCCTCCCATGCCCTGTATTGGGGATTGAAACAGGGCTAAGCAGGTGCTCTACCCCTGAGCTATAGCCTCATTCCTGACTGGACAAATCTGTTGGAGGTCTCTTTTCCACCAAATAGTCAAAACCTTTTTGTTAGTTTACTGTAGTTTGGATCTTCAATGTGCTCCAAAGGTATTACAGGCTTGGTTGCTGGTCTGTGGCACTACTGGAAGGTGGCAAAACCTTTAGGAAATGGGCCTAGTTTGAGTAAGTTGGGTCACTGGGACTGTGCCCTTGAAGGGGATATTGGGACCCTATACCCTTCTTTTCTCTGCTTTCTGAGTACTATGAGGTTAACAGGCTTCATCCACCACATATTCTTGCCATGTATATAATTTGCTGTCACAGGCCCAAAGCAACAGGACCAAGCAATCATGGATTGAAACCTCTGAAACTGAAATAAAATAAACTTTTCCTCTTTTCAAGTTGATTTATCTCAGATATTTGTTACAGTGGTGGGAGGCTGACTAACAGTTTCATTCCTTAAGTTAATTTCCAAACTAGAAGATTATTTCTCAGAGGGCCTTTGGATTATATTTAGGCTTGAAGAGGCTTGAAGACACTAATCTAAATGAAAAATCACAGAACTTAAAAAAAAAAAAATTCTTTGGTACCAGGGATTGAACTCAGGGGTACTCAACAATTGAGCCACTTCCCCATCCCTTTTTTTTTTTTTAAATTTTGAGATAAGGTCTCACCAAGTTATTGAGGCTGCCTTTGAATTTATGATCCTCCTACATCCTACCTCCCGAACCACTGGGATAACAGGTTTTTTTTTTTTTTTTAACTATACTGTCATATAATTTCCCATCCAAGGATCTTTTCTACCCCACAGAGAATTAAGCAACAGATAAGGCTTTAACCGTAGGAGAAATAGCAGATTCAAATGTGTGCTTCTTTCACTGGTTCACATGATACAGCCATCTTTTTTGGGGTGGGGGTGGGAGTACTGGGGATTGTACCTATGGGGGCTCTACCACTGACATATACATCTCCAGCCCTTTTTTAAAATTTGATTTTGAGGTAGGCTCTCACTAAGTTGCCCAAGTTGCCCTCAAACTTCCAATTCTCCTGCCTGAGCCTCCTGAGCAGCTGGGATTACAGGTGTGTGCCACCTCACCTGGCCGACACAGCCATCTTGGTAAAGTTTTTTGACAAAATCAGCAGAATTCCTTGGGGGTTCCTAGATTTCCAGGAATGGCCAATGATTGGGTAAGATGCCTGCTGTACCAATTAAAGATTTTAGCCTTGGTTTAAATTTGTTATTAAAACCACATCTTGGGGGCTGGGGATGTGGCTCAAGTGGTAGCACGCTCGCCTGGCATGCGTGCAGCCTGGGTTCGATCCTCAGCACCACATACAAACAAAGATATTGTGTCCGCCAAAAACTAAAAAAATAAATATTAAAAAAATTCTCTCTCTCTTTAAAAAAAAAAAAAAAAAAAAAAAAAACCCACACATCTTGGGCTGGGGCTGGGGCTGGGGCTCAGTGATAGAGTGCTCACCTAGCATATATGAGGCACTGGGTTCAATCCTCAGCACTACATAAATTTCCTATATGAACATACCTATCACCTACATCACTAAGTATGAACAGAGAAATTTACCTAGTGCATCTGGAAGGCTTAACTGAAGAAGGAAAATTAAAGCAGATTATTTCCTCCTTCATCCTAAAGAAAACGAACATCCAACAGAGACATGAATGATTCTTGGGTTTCCAAATTACTACCAAAAAATAAAACTTTAGAATTCTTCCTTTAGTTATCTCCTGTGTCTTTTCTCTCTAGAAATAAACTTACTCAGGAATAAGCCTCTGGAATTCTGCATCAATTTGAATGATTCAGTGTTTCCTTCGTATTGCAGGGCCCCTATCTATTAGAATACTTCCTGAACTATGTTAAAATAATGCCCGGTGACTTAAAGATGGGGATAAATTCTGCAGATGTTCCCTTGCCCGCTCCTCTCACAGGCTGGCTAAGATTCAAAGTAAAATGTTTAACTGCTTGAGGCAGTATGTACCGTACATAGCAGTGGACAACTAATGAACCCAATAATCAGGCAGAAATCTGAGTTAGAATTGTTTAGAACTGGAAATCGACCTTAGGGAAAATTTAATTTCTTCACCCTTCAATGAAAAATGAACTCCTCTTACAGGAATTGCTCCTAGTTCTTCCACTCATAGTTTGGTGTGATTTTTTTAAAAACGGACATACAAAGAAGAGGACACTCAGATTGGACTTGTAGGAACTTTGCTTGGAGGACTTCAGTTAGGTTCTAAAGAGGTGACCCACATAGATGGTTACACATTCATGGGTATAGCTTTATTTTATGCCCACTACAAGCCTCTTATGATACTTTGCAGCAGTAAGCTGTATTATTTCTCTCTGGAAAAAGGATTATACATTCCTGTTCTATTGAATACAGACTGGCTATATGACTTGCTTCTTATCCAGCTAAGTATGAACAGCCAGGAAGAAATGTTAAAAATTATAGCACAACAGGCTATATACATAGGGGTGGGTTTACTAACTGGGATTCCTAAATGAAGGTGCCTGGGAGCAGAGCTGCAGTTGACTCCTGATGGATGTATAGCATGAAGGATATGTAAAACTTTGTTTCTTTAAAGCCTTTCAGATTTGGAGGTCATTGTTACTGCATAATTTCGCCACCCCTTCTCAAACTGAGCCAAAGTTTCTAAAAAGCAGGTCAGGTGATAGCAACAAAATGGTGACTTTTAGAATAAGTACACATTACATCTGGTGGACAGTAATAATATTAGGGTTGACATATGGAATAAAAGTTCTCTTGTGGAAAGACAAGGCAGTGTCCGATTCAGCTTTTATCTTTTTACAACCCCCCCCCCCCAACTTAAACCAAATTCTTACTATAGTACTATGTAATACAACCATTAAGGTTAACCTGAAGGGTTATAAAGATTTCTTCTGACTCATTTAATTCAAATTCCAGGCTGATAGTCACAATTCTAGAAAGTTAGCGTTTTTTTATGACTAACAAAGCTAATATAGGATGTGAATTACAAAAACTAAACAAGTCACACTGAATCCTGGAGGAACAAGACATCAACTATAATTAAAATATTTTAAACAACTTTAACATTTTAATTAATGATCAGATCACAGAACAAGAGGTCAGCCAGACATCTGCTTGCCCAGGCTAAATGTTATGTTGATAATGGAACTGAGACCAAAATTCCAAAACTAAAAGACATGGGGAAAATGTGAAGGGCCGCTCTAGTTTCAGGTATCTAAGTCATATAAAAACCAAATATAGGGGCTGGGGTTATGGCTCACTGGTAGAGCACTCGCCTAGCACGTGCGAGGCGCTGGGTTCAATCCTCAGCACCACATAAAAATAAATAAATAAAGGTATTGTGTCCAACTACAACTAAAAAAATATACATATATATTTAAAAAAAAAAAACCCAAATATAAAGCTGGGTGCTGTGGCACAAACCTGTAATCCCTGCGGCTTGAGAGGCTGAGGCAGGAGGATTGTGAGTTCAAAGCCAGCCTCAGCAAAAGCAAGGTGCTAAGAATTCAGGGAGATCCTGACTCTAAATAAAATACAAAATAGGGCTGGGGATGTGGCTCAGTGGTTGAGTTGAGTGCCCCTGAGTTCAATCCCCAGTACCCTCCCCCTGAAACAACAAACAAAACAAACATAAAATATCAGAAAAGATTACAGAAATACCTATTCATGTATAAATAATAAATTTAGTGACTGAGTATACATCTGTAAGTTCACCATGTCAGAATTTCCTACTAGGCAGTCTCTTTTGAGTAGGAAAATACTATTCAATAGTTTTATCTATAGCATCCAACACTACTCTATTCTCCTTAATGAGGAAACACTGTATGACTCTGCCATGTCAAGGAAGTTATGCTATAAGGTAGAATGGCAAGTGAATTCACTGAGCAAAGGCACCTATTTCTCTAGGCAGGCTTTGCTGAAGTCATTCACTTCCTAAGAATTAATTGATGTGGTCTCTCAATGAGAGTTAACTAACTGGTCTCAGCTCCGAGAAGTTATTTGTAAAAAAAAAAAAAAAAACAAACAAAACAGAATTTAAACAATGAAAAAATTCTATTCTCATGTCCTGGTCTTCAGCAAAGCCTGGAAAACAAATAAGAGCTGATGGCTTTGAATCCAGACACAAAACTCTGAACCACTGCCAATATTTTTATTTCTTAAGAGTCCTTTCCCTAAGCTGGGTACAGTGGTGCATACCTGAGACAGGAGGATCTTGGGTTCTGAGCCAGCTTCAGCAATGGCAAGACCCTAAGCAACTCAAGTGAGACCCTGTCTCTAAATAAAATACAAAATAGGGATGGGGATGTGGCTCAGTGGTTGAGTGCCCCCCAGTTCAATCCCCAGTACCAGGAAAAAAAAAAGAAAGAGTCCCTTCGCCCAACCCCAGCTGCTTTTACCTTTGTTTCATATAGCCAGGAGGAGTAACACTTTTGTCTGCCGTTTATATAGTCTTTATTCTAGTCTCAGATTATAGAACAGGCAATGTGAGGTAACCAGATACAACTATTACTTTACTTTTTTAAAAAGAATTTAGTTGTTGATGGATCTTTATTTTTTATTTATTTATATGCGGTACTGAGAATCGAACCCAGTGCCTCACACATGCTAGGGAAGCACTCTGCCACTGAGCCACAACCCCAGCATGTTACTTTACTTTTCTTCATTTAAGTTTCCTACAGAAATATACTTTGCAGTCTTGTGGTGGGAATAATCAATAACACATGAAAGTAATTCAGAGTCTGATAAGAGGCTGCTACTTCACAAATCTATCTATCCCTATCATAAGCTTGAAGAGAGCAAAACTAAGGTCCAAGTAAACTGTATTCAGCAGTTTGACCCTTAATAAATATTTATTGACAACAATTTGAAAGATCATTTTTGATAAATCATTCTGATCATGTGGAAGAACCTCCAAATACATTTTGGCTTTTGCCTATAAGCAAGACTATGAACAAGATGTAAATATCTATAAATTTATGGGGAGGATGTGCCTCTATCATCAACAGTAAGAAAGCAAAAGTTGGGCTGGGGCTGTAGCTCAATGGTAGAGCATCCGCCTTGCAAGTGTGAGGCACTGGGTTTGATCTTCAGCACCACATAAAAATAAATAAAGACACTGTGTCCATCTATAAATAAAAAAATATTTAAAAGAAAGAAAAGAAAGCAAAAGTTGACTATACTCTATCAGACCTGACAGAAAGCCTTTCTACATTATTGCTGGTACTGAAAATATTTCTTGGAAATATTTCTTTTAACTACTAAAATGCTTGGAGATAGTATATTAAATGAAACAAGGCAGACACAAAAAGATGGAATACTCAGTCATGATCTCATTTATATGTGAAATCAAAAACAGTCAAACTCAAAACTCAAAAAGGAGAAGAATGGTTACTAAGAGATTGAAGGTCGGAGGAGATGGTGGTTCAAGGGCACAAGATTTCAGTTAGGCAGGAGGAATAAGTTCAGGAAATCTACTGTACAATAAGATGATAATAGTTAACAACAATGAATTGTACACTTGAAATTTTCTAAGAGTAGATTTTAAGTTGGTTTCACTACAAAAAAATAAGTATGCGAGGTAATGGACATGTTAATAGCCTGAATTAGTCATCCCAAGGTATACATATATCAAAACACCATTTATGCCATAAATATGCAGTTTTGTCAATTTTGAATAAGTACATACACATTTTAAAAAATCACTAATATGTTAACTTTACTAAGATGGGTCAAAACCTTTTCAACAGTTAGGAAATACTTCAAGCTGGTTATCAGCTTCCACAGAGACATGAAAACATTCTATCCTAAGGGTTTCTGTTGAGATTATCCCACTTCTAGACTTATTACCTGGTAAATGTGCCTTCCACTGGGCGATGAGATTAAAGTGATGGACTGTCGATCAACTAGGTCCAAGGCTTGAATGGCTGATGAGCCAAAGATAAACTTCAGCCTGGGAAATGGAGGCTTTGGATTAGAAGGGCTGACTGCCAATCACCTTAGTAACTTGACCCAAAGGTTCACTATCCTCAGCACTTTCTTTTCTTTCTTTTTATGTGGTGCTGAGGATTGAACACAGGGCCTTGCACATGCTAGGCAAACGCTCTACCACTGAGCCACAATCCCAGCCCTCTTTTCTTTTGTTTTTGACAGTGTTGAGGATAGAACCCACTTATGCATGCTAGACAAGCACTCTACCACTGAGCTATCCTGCCCTCTTCATCCTCAGCATTTTAAAAAAGTTCACTTTAATTTGGAAAAACAGGAAATAATATAGCAAAATCCATAGACTCATTTGCTCTCTAGAATTAATATATATTAATATTCTTGTTCATTTATTTCAGATGTTCTTTTTTAATAAAAGGAGTAACATACTGATAATGAAGCCCTCTTTTATACTTTTGTGTAGTGTTTCCATTCTCTTTTTTTCTGTGTGTTTATGTGTTGGGAATTCAATGCAGGGCCTCAAAGGTGCTAAGCACATTCTTTATCACTGAGTATTATCTATCTCTAGCCCCAAATATTTACTGGTTTCCTTCCTGATTTTATTATACATAGAATGTATGTGCACATATATACACATGTATACATATATGTATGCATACACATACATATATATGTTAATGTTTTAGAAATTAAAAAATAACTTACTTCGTTTTTCTACATTACTAGTCTAAGGTGCAAAACTATTGAAGGAATAGGAAAGAGCTCTTTAAAATTTTTATATTAAACATGTTAAAGATTTAGTCAATAAAAAAATCAATAAAACATGGTAAAAATAATCAAAGGTAATCACAGTTAACATTAGAAAAAATTTAAACCTGCTTTGTCTTCTTTAGAACCTACTGCAAGCATCTCTTGAACAAAGAATGGCTACAAAGATTTTTACTTTTATTCTCCCCAACTCTTTTGGATAGATTGTTTTCAGCGTTTTTGTTTTACTACAATAAACAATACTGGATTAATATTCTCACTGTAAAATCTTTATGAACAACCATGATTACTTCCTTGGGATATATTCTTATAAGTGGAATATCTAGGTCAAAGAATATGTTTTAAAAGCTATTATTTCCTGTTGCCAAGTTACTTTCCAATGTACATTCCTACCAGTAAGGTATCAGTTATGCCCTTCTCCATATTTCTACCAAATTTCTTCTGTGGTTTCCAGTTTTAAAAGATGAACAGTTATCTTTATTTTGTATTTTTCTGCAACATTTTTGCATATTTGCATTTTTTATGATTGCCTATTTTGTTTTTAAAGTGGTAATTAATTTTTCTTATAATAATGTATAATTCTTATGAAAAATCTGAGAAATAGAGGAAAGGTTAAAGCATTTTCCTAAATTCTACTTCCTTACCATTAAGATAATTACTGGTAGCTGGGCAAGGTGGTGCATTCCTGTTATCTCAGCTACTTGGGAGACTGAGGCAGGAGGATCTCAAGTTTGAGACTATCCTGGGCAACTTAATGAGACCCTGTTTCCAAAAAAAAAAGGGCTGAGGATGTAGCTCAGTGATTGTGCTCTTGGGTTCAATCCCTAGTACCACCAAAAATCAAAATAAAAACAATTAAGTGTCACTTATTCCTGGGTAGCTTTTACTTTTTATTGCTATTGAGATTGTAATTGTATTCTTGGATTTTGTGGCATGAAAGAAAATGACTTTTTTTAGTAGTTCCATCCACAATTTATTGAATTATAAATCAGATTAAATGATTTTTTATTTCTGTAAAATAATTGGCCATTTTTAATTCTCTCTTTTTTTAATAGTGATATCACCTGCAAATAACATTTGTCTTTTTTAAAAAATATTTATTTTTTAGTTGTAGTTGGACATAACACCTTTATTTCACTTATTTTTTTTTTATGTGGTGCTGAGGATCGAACCCAGGGTCTCACATGTGGGAGGCCAGCGCTCTACCGCTGAGCCACAACCTCAGTCCCACATTTATCTTTCTTTGAAGACAGGTATACTTCTAATTTTTTTTTTTTTTTTTTTTTTTTATGTGCCAGTGGAACAGGTTTAATTTATAGAACGGTGTTAAAGAAGAGTTGCAAATAGGGCAATATAGGAATGCCTTATATGATGTTGTTGGCTATTCATCTGAGATTTTTAAAAATTATGTGAAAAATATTTAGTAGTTAACTAGTTCAGTAAGACTAGTTTTAAAAGTTAAGAATCAAGGGCTGGGGATATAGCTCGATCAGTAGAGTGTTTGCCTTGCATGCACAAGGCCCTGGGGTCAATCCCCAGCACCATAAAAAAAAAGTTAAGAATTGATAAAGATTTGGCCCTTAAAATATACTAGAGTTTTTTTTTAAAAAATCAAAGCACAACAGTGTGTACTTACGATGATAGATGCTCATCAGGAACTGTAAAATGGGAATAGAAAAAAAAGTTAATTATGTTATACTAGTGACCATAGACACAAAAAATCTTAAAAAAGACTACCACCAAAAAAGACTTACAAATGACAAATTGAACCTATGTATATAATTTTGTTCCTTCCCTAAATCCGCCTAAAACAGTTAAAAAAAAAAAACCATAAACTCCCAAGAATGAGAAAGGCAGGAAGAAACAATACTAAGATAAACTGGAAGTAGATAGAAGAGTGAAAAATAATTCACAAGATCTGAAAAAACTGAATCCTAGGCTAGCAGTGGGGAGAGTCAAGCACCAACCTGATTTAATTACAGAATCCAATACTTCTCCTCTACCTTACTCCCCTCAATCCCCCCCCCCCCAAAAAAAAAGAAATTCTCAAAATTGGTAGTACCAGATTGTTCTGGAGGCTGGTATCAATCAAGGACATTAAAATAACAAAAAGTCTATGGGCTGGGGTTGTGGCTCATTGGTAGAGCTCGTGCCTGGCACATGTGGGGCCCCGAGTTTGATCCTCCTCAGCACCACATATAAATCAATAAAATAAAGGGGTGTGTGTGTGTGTATATATATATATATATATGTGTGTGTGTGTGTGTGTGTGTATATATATATATATAAAATATGTTTAAGAAGTAATCTACGGCCTAGCTATAGATGGCTGCTGTCTTTGCGCTCTGACAAAAGACTAGGTTCATTTTCTGGAGAGATTCAAACACACGTTATCTGACCTAGAGGAAAATTCTAGGTACACACAGTGGAGCTAAGGTGTCACATGAAAAACAGGGGACCTCATGCTCTCTTCCCCAATATGGCTCTTGTAATACAATCAGGCTTTACCCTTTGGGCAATCTTTCCTGGGGACTCTGACCAAGCCAAGAGGAATGACACTGGAATGTTTTCCCCAGCTAGCCTAGTAAAAACAATTACAATGACATTAACCATCCATAAGCTCTTCTATATCCAAAGTCTTCACACTTAAACATTCTAGACAACTAAGAATTACTGGGAAACAAAGGAAAAAAGACAGAGAACAAAACAAACAGAAGCAAACTAATTAGAGAAAAAACTGCAGAGAAAATATTTCAAACACCTATCAATATTATCAGAGGAAAAAACAAGCAAAGCAACTGTAAAACAGGCACAAGATATAATAAAGGGATCTTCAGGGGAAAAAATTGTAAATTAAATATGACAGCAGAAATAAAAAAAAAAGGAATCTAAAAGATTCAGTTAAAGAAAGTTCCTAGGAAGTGGAGAAAATTTAAAAAATGAAATATAGGAGAAATTGTACATCACTCAAGAGGAACAATAAAGGGCATTCAGTAACTGAATAATGGAAACACTAAGAAAAAAAAAAAAAACTCATCAATCCAGTAAGTCAAGAAAATTTCCCAGAATTGAAGGATATGAATTCCTAGTCTGAAAGGGGCCACTGAGTGCCCACATGGTAGAGTGAAAAAATAAAAAATAATTCTCATCAGAAGATTCTAAAAAACTGGTCATAAAGAGAAGATATAGTTGAGCTTCCAAATCCATGGATTTTATATGTTTCCATGATTCAACCAGCCTTGGATTAAAAACAAAACCAAAACAAACAAGAAATTTGGAAAAATATTCTCTGTGCCTATACCTGAACATGTAGATTTTTTTCTTATCTTTATTCCCTAAGCAATACAGTACAACTACTACTTATGTAGCATTTACATGTGCCAAACATTATGAGTAATTGAGAGATGATTTAAAGTTTATGGGAGGATGTGTATAGGTTATATGCTATTTTAAATAAAGAACTTGAGCATCAGTGATGTCCACAGGAGGTCCTGCAACCAATCCTCTAAGGATACTGAGGAACAAGTGTGATTCAACTTCCAGAAAAATAAAAGTCACATAAAAAAATCAACACTAGAAGATAGAAGATAGCATAATAATGCTTTCAGATGTCTCAAGAAATATTATTTCCAACATATAATTTAACACTTAGCCAACCTATCAATTAAGTGTGAGTATAGAAAAACTTTCAGACATGCTAAGCCTTAAAAAGTACATCTCACACCCTTTCATACCCTTCTTCACGAAGCTACAAGAGCTTATGCTCCATAAAATAAGGTAGAAAACCAAGAAAAGAAAATTGTAGGATATACTAAATATAAGGCCCAACACAGGTAAAGAGAATTCCCAGGATAATAATGGTGAAGGGAGATCTCAGGAGACAGATGAGATCAGCCAATTCATATTAGACAAGTCAGAACGCTCTAGGAGAGATTTCTTCAGAAAAATGAAATTGATGAACACCTTTTTAATTTGAACATGTTGAGTAGAGATTTAGAACACTGATAGAATGTGGGGTTGAATTATGGATAAATACACAGAAAACTAAACAAACCAAGACAACTGTAACTACAGGGGAACCAAAAAGTAACACAGGAAATGTAATCTTAATTTTCTACATGGCTCAGCTACAACTAGTTTATATTTCCTTACACAAGCTTTGAATCTTGATTTAAAACTATTAGCACTTTAGAATGGGGGTTAAGGAAGGTTCTACGACTAAAAAAACAGGTCTGCGGGCTGGGAATGTGGCTCAAGCGGTAGCGTGCTAGCGTGCTCGCCAGGCATTCGTGTAGCCGGGTTCCATCCTCAGCACCACATACAAACAAAGATGTTGTGTCCTCCGAAAGCTAAAAAATAAATATTAAAATTCTCTCTCTCCTCTCTAATAAAAAAAATAATAAAAAATAAAAAACAGGTCTGCTAAAAAATAAACATGATTAAATGTCAGTGGTCCTTGTGTCCGAGCCATGAGTGTCAACAGCACTTACTATGTCCCCTTCAAGATTGTCGGCCTAAGGTTTGATCCATTCTGACATACTCCAGTAAAAGTTGATTCTATTTTGAACTCTTAGACTGTTCAAGCTTAGACAAGAAACACTGAACTGACAATACATTAGCTTTCCCTCCATCCTTTCTGGAATCAGGACGTTTAACCCTCAGTAAATTCTGACTGAAATGCTTTACTTTTCTCAGTCTTTTAAAAACAGTAATGCAAAATAACCCATATTGAAGCACACAAAAGCCATGCAAGTGAATAAGCGATGGCAGTCTTGAAACCTAATTTGGCTTTTGTTTATAGAGTGGCCATCTTTACACTGGAAGAGTAGTTCGAATAGTCCATACATTTTGATTTGAAATATCCTTTTTTTTTTTTCAATTTGTAATGCTGAGATGATCCTGGCTCCGTGATATTAGTGACATAGGCATAAAGCACCCTCTGCTGGTCCCTGGAAAAAAGACTTTTAGAGCATCCAGATTTACTTCAGAAATTAGCATATGCATTTGGGTTTGTGACCCTAAGATATTTACTTTCTGAATAAAGTATATGAAGAGTTTTTAAAGTTAACATTAGGACTTGAGAAAAATTATGTTTTAAAATTCAGAGTTTCGAATGAAATAACTTAAGAGTTAGCTTTTCCATAACTCACTATAGGATTCAGTCCTTTCAACCTCCCAAGCCCCTCTCACGTGTACTCAACGCTTGTCCCAGAGCTTCCGTTCTCATTGGCCTGTTCGCCCTCCGCGGGAGGAGTGCCAGCACCTGCACTGTTCCTTAAATATCTGTTAAATGGATTTGACTTTTATGACCTAAATATTTCTATTTAATTTTATTTTTTCCACGAGCCTGGAGTTTAGAGATAAGGGAAAAAAACTCGGGCAGTTTACAGCGCCCAACCTGGTGGGGCCCGGAACCCCGCGCCCGTGGGCCCTGGCGCCCCCGGCCCCCTCGACGTGTTCCGCGGCCCACAACGCAGCCACGCACGGCCTACGACCCGTACTTCGTGCGGTTTCCCTCACTGCCGCGGCCATCTCGCTCAAGAGCTCCTCTACGACCGCGGGTAACGTGACAGCCATGATGCCACAGGTTGCATCCTCTTCAACAAGATCTTAGGCCACCGAACTCCGACCTGCTACGATAACCTGCGGAGGAATCCCGCCGCCACTGGGGTTGGGGGCGAGACCGTGACGTCGGTGTACGTCATCGCGCATGCGGAAAGCAACGATGACGCCTTCTTGGGCATGATGGCCCGACCAATCCGGCGAACCCTTTGCGCAGGGGGCGGGGCGTCCCGGGATCCGACCGGCCTGCAGTGCGCAGAGGACGCGGCGGGAGCATGTTCCGGCTCCTGAGCTGGAGCCGGGGTCGAGGCCTCCTGCGGGCCGCGGGGCGGCGGTACCGGGGTTACTCTGCGCGCCTGCTCCCCGGGCCGGCAGGAGGCCCCGGGCCCGAGATGGAGGTGCCGCCACCCCGAGTTGCGCCGCACGGCCGCGGCCCGGGCTTGCTGCCGCTACTGGCAGGTGAGGGGCGCGGGCCGGGCGGGGCCGGCCGGGCGGGGACCGGGGCGCGGGCCGGGCCCGGTGACCTCAGAGCCCCTTCCTGCAGCGCTCGCCTGGTTCTCGAGGCCTTCTGCGGCAGATGCGGAGGAACAGCAGGGAGCGGGCGGGGCCGCCGCTGAGGATGCGGCGGACGAGGCAGAGGCCGAGATCATCCAGCTGCTGAAGCGAGCCAAGGTGAGGCTTCGTGAGCCCTTGTGAGCGAGGCCTTCCCTATAGTTTGCCGAAACGTGGATGGAGGCTCGGAGGATAAAATTGCCCCAAATTAGATGGATCATCAGAGGGGGGAGGTTGGGATCCATTCAGTCTGGTCCGTCTCTAAAACCTGCAGTAAAATTGCTGCAGTCTCAAGTGCAGGTGGAGATGGCACCCTTGGCATATTTCTTTTGTTTGAACAAATTATTGAAAATGTTTTATGGTTGTTTTTAATCAGTTAACCAGCCAAGATGAAGTGGGCATTATTTGCACATACTATGATCCTTAAAATGCAATTCTTCCTTTTCTCCATATCTTTTTTTTTTTCCTTAATATTCCTTTTTTTTTTTTTCACCCCAGGCTCTCTCAGTTTGCTGTTTACATTCTATCTCCACTGTAAGGCCTCATCTACCTCTCAGACTTAAAAATGCCCCAAACCAAACTCTTCCTCTTGAATGCCTTTCCAACACATTCTTTATCTTCTCTTTATGACCATCAGTTTCTCAGCTACATTTCTAAAACTTGTGGTCCTCTATCATTGCCTTCCAGTACACAGCTGTAATTCCTGTTGCCACCAAATGCAAAATATTTTTCAAATATGGCCCGTTTCTCTATTTCCCTTGCTGTTGTCATCCTAGTGCAGTCACTGTCACCAACTGAATTGATAGCCTGTCCTGGTCTTTTGACCCTCTACAATTCCTTTTCCATACATCAGTCTTAGTGATACCTACGACATACATCAGTCTTAGTGATACCTATGATGCATTTTCCATACTGCAGCCTTAGTGATATTTTAAAAATGCAAATCAGCTCACATCACTCTTGCCTGACAACTCTGAGAAATTTCCCACTGCACTTGTTAAAATTCAGACTCTTTGCCATGGTCAGCAAGATCCTAAGATCTAAACCATCCTACCTCACCCATTCATTTGCAGTAATGCTCTGGCTCACCATTCTTCACATTTCTTTCCTGGCAGTTCTTCTGAAGAACCATTCTTTTCAACCTGTACAGGCTTCACTCATTCTCTGTGGGTCATTCTTCCTCCCAATTCCATATTTGGTTGACTTACTGTCACCCTTTGTTCCTCAGTTTAATTCTTATTTCTTTGGAAGATTTCCCTGATTTTCACTGGAGGAGACTACTTCTCACTTGCCTTTTTTTTTTTTTTTTTTTTGCTGGGGATTGAATCCAGGGCCTTGTGCATGCAAGGCAAGCACTCTACCAACTGAGCTATAACCTCAGTCTCCCGTCCTTCTCACTTCTTTCCATTGTTTTTCTTCATAGCTATTAATTAATGAATTGTAATTAAGCCTATTTCCCCCGATGGTCCCCTTCAGCCTAAAGGAAGGAAGAGAAAAAGAGGATGAGCTGGGTGCACTGATGCGTGGCTGTAATCCCAGTGGCTTGGGAGGCTGAGACAGGAGGATCACAAGTTTAAGACCAGCCTTGGCAAATTCGTAAGACCCTGTCTCAAAATAAAACATAAAAAGGGATAGGAGGTGACTCAGTGGTTAAGTGCCCCTGGGTTCAATCCTTGGTACCAAAAAAAAAAAAGGAAAAAGATGAAGGACAAACAGATTTCTTATAAAATATGATATAAAGATCGCTCACATTCCTTCTGCCTGCATCTGTTGGCCAAAACGTCATTACACATAGCCACATATAGCTGCCAGGGAGGCTGACTTCCTTGTCATCTATAGACAATGCTTGCTGCATAGTAGGAGTCAGTAAATATCTGATGAATGAATAGCTTCTTTCTATGAATGGGATGTGTAGCCATCTGTACTTCTTTCTGGAAGCACATGCATGTGCTTTCCTTATACATCATTTAATGTTATTTTCTTTTTCTTCTCTTTTTAGTTGAGCATCATGAAAGATGAACCAGAAGAGGCTGAGCTAATATTGCATGATGCTCTTCGCCTTGCCTATCAGAGCGATAACCTGAAAGCCATCACTTACACTTATGATTTGGTAACTCTTCTAATCAGAGCTACTGATGACGAAGGGTGGATGCTTGAAAAGGATTGTTCTTCCTGATTTCTATTCCTGACCGTTGGGGTGTTTGAAAGCTCTATTTTCATTGTTGTCATTTTCGTTTTTTTTTTTTTTTTTAAACCATTGGCAGAATCACTTATGAGCTGTCTCAATTCCCGACCAAAAAGAAACAAATAGCTTTTGTTTCTTTAATGATAAGTAGATCTAGATTTCATTTATTATCAACAATATATGCAACAAAGTATTTGCTTCTTATACCATTGCTGTACTGTGCTAGCAGATTAACTGGTGACATACTTTATCCACTTTGAACTTTTGTTTTTTTAATTCAGAGGGTGACTGCCAAAGGGAATCTTTAGCTTAAAGGTTTTTGGATAAGTAGGAACACAGTGCTCTAAACTGAACAATTTGTAATTTGCTTTCAGATGGCCAACTTAGCGTTTATACGAGGTCAACTAGAAAATGTAAGTAAATCATTTTGTAATATTTTGAATTTGTGAAATACGAGCCTCTAGGGAACTGCAATAGTAATGATGCAGGCTAAGCTACTATGATCCAGAATATAGTGACTCAGAGAGGATGAAGTTATTTCTCTTTTTTTTTTTGACATATATTTTTTAGTTGTAGTTGGACACAATACCTTTATTTTTATTTATTTTTATGTGGTGTGAGGATCGGACCCTAGGCCTTGCATGTGTTAGGCAAGCACTTTGCCGCTGAGCCACAACACCAGCCCCTGAAGTGAGTCTACATGTAGGTCAAAGACTAAAGGCAAGATAGGCATCTCTGCTGTCTGGTTCAGAAGTCTGGTTCTTTCTAAGCTGCATGGGTGAGCTGACTCACTTCCAGCCTGCAGGAAGGGAGAAAAAGAAGATGAAGGGCAAGCAGCATCCTTATAAGTTATGGTTTAAAAAGTTCATATTCTTCCTGCATGCAACTCCTGGCCACAATTTCATCATATGACTACATGTAGCTTTAAGGAAGGCTGATCTGCTAAAAATTGAGGGGATTTTATAGCCATAATGATGGGAGAGTGACTATTGGGGCCAATTTGCAATCTCTGCCACAGTGATTTAATGAGAAGTTGATTTCTACTCATCCACAGAGTAGATTAAGATACACAGGATGTGGGACCCTGATATTTTGGTCCATTTTCCTTCCAAAAAAGTACTTTTCTGTGTGTTTGGGGTGTGTGTGTGTACACATGTGTACGTACATAGGAGTGCTACATCAGACTGACACTTAGAATCCAAGGGTCATGTAGAGAATTGGGCCCAAATGAAAAATCTTTTCCTTACGCTTTTAGGCAGAACAACTTTTTAAAGCAACAATGAGTTACCTGCTTGGAGGGGGCATGAAGCAGGTAAGAATATTGCCTATTATTGGCCCCCTCATTGAAGCGGTTTTTAAAATAGTCTTCCTGAAAACTTCTCCCCCAGTCTTCAATGTGCGCTTTGACCAAAAAAGGTGAATTTTTTGCTCCTGTACCTCTATAAAAATGGCCAATCTTTCACTAATTCAAAAGCATGGTTGCTGAGAACTTCACTAATTTCTCTAAAAGTCAAGAAGTTGAACTGAAATAATCTGTGAGGAAGTTTTACTTGTCATGAATTACCTTTATTTCTCTCTCCCAATAGGAAGACAATGCAATAATTGAAATCTCCCTAAAACTGGCTAGTATCTATGCTGCTCAGAATAGGTAAGTGTGGTTAGAATGTAGGTGTAACAGTGGCGAGAGAATGGGCCTCTGGGCAGGAAACTGATCCTAGGGTGTCATATAATCTTCATTTACCTACAAGTCATCAGGGTCTTTAAAAAATTGGCTTTCACCTTTCAGTTGTCCCATCCCTTGTCTTAGCAGTCTTTAGGCTTTTCCAGTTCTGCCCTGCTTTTTCCTTTAGCTTGCTGAGGGGAAGCACACAGCCCTCACACCTGGCTGTGTGATAAAGCTAGTCAAGTTTTTTGTTCCTGCTTGAAGTGAGAAGGGAAGTTGAAATGTGAACTGGGAACCGTAGTTAGCTCTTCCTAGAAGTGGAGAGAGCAATGTAAAATTGCCAGGGATAATACACTTTGAAAAAACCACTTTCTTTCTTTTTTTTTTTTTTTTTAATATTTTTTTAGTTGTAAATGGATCTTTTATTTATTTATTTAAATGTGGTGCTGAGGATCGAACCCAGGGCCCACATGCCAGGCAACTGCTCTTCCACTGAGCCACAATTCCAGCCCCAAGAAACCACTCTCTTGATATAGGCATCAGCAAAAGAAGTTGTTAGGTATCAAGGTACATGGTGAGAGTCACTGTGGGAGTATCTTGTGGCTCATTTTCATTATCCATTCTGAGAAAACAGCAGCTTTTTTTCTTCTTTTTTTCCTTTCTTTTGGATACTGGGGATTGAACCTAGGGGTGCTTTACCACTGAGCTATATCCCCAGCCCTTTTTTAAATTTTTTATTTTGAAATGATTTTGCTAAGTTTTGCTGAGGCTAGCCTCGGATTTGCCATTCTCCTGTTTTAGCCTCTGAGCCACTGGGATTACAGGCTTGCACTGCTGGGAGCCATTAGCCAAGTAGGTATGACAATTTCCTTGCCAGCCTACCCCATGTTGCTTAGTGGAAGGACTCGTGGAAATAGGACATTTTGCAGTGACATTGCATGTAGGTGACCTTGCTCAAGGACCAGGGCGGATCCAGGTTTAGGGTGTTCCCGGTTTAGGATAATTGGGTTTAGGGCGTTCTGGTTTAGGGCATTCCAGGTTTAAGATTATTCCTGCTGGGAATAGGGCGTATCCTGCTGCCTGAGTTCCCCTTGTTGCACCACCATGCTTGACAATAAATGTCTATTTTTAAGACCTTAGCAGAAGGTTTTGAATAAAATATTTTGTTTAAATGACTTGACCACTGTTCATATGTAGAGTATGTAGAGTTAATGATAGGTAGGTTTCTGGAAGGGGAACTAGTCGAGAATAGAGGAGAGATCTATAAATAAGTGAGTCATTTCTTATAAAGAAGAAAAATATGCCAGCTACATAGGATGACCTTAGACAACAATTTAGATAACATGCCAAAGGCTGAGAGCACTGATGAGTTGAGGGCCTTTTATTCCTATCAGTTTCTAGGTGGAGTTCAAAGAAGAAGCATATAGGATGTAAGCAGAGAACTCTAGACTGGAGTTTTATTTGGGGTGAGTTTAGGGGGAGAATTAAAACTAGCTTTCCTTACGTTTTTAGTTACTGCAGAATTTGGTGCCAGAGGTTTGGAGTGACATCAAGTCAGATACTATACAAAGGGTTCTCATTGAAGTCCTGGTACTGGTCTCTGCTGTCCTAGTCACAGCTTCTTCATTTTCATCAAGTCCTCTCTGCATTTTGATTGGACAGTAGAACTTCCGAGGGCCTTTGACTTCAAGTTGTCTAAAGAGCTTTAAGTTTGATTGGTACCAGGAAACGTTTTGGCTGAGGTCAATCTTCCTAGGAAGAGTATCAAATAGAAGTAGATGTTGGTGGAACTGAACTGCTCAGGTAAGAAGCCAATAAAAACCAATAAAACACAGGAAAGTAATACAATTTATAATCTTGTAGATGTGAAAGCTTTTATAGTATCCATTAATAATTAACCTTTAAGTACTTTTCATTCTGTTTTGTTGAGAGAATCATAAGGTAGAAGACAAGGCCAGGTCCTGAGGCTTAGAAAGCCTGATACGAGTCCGGAGAGGAATTTTTTTTTTTTTTTTTTTTGTTGTAAACAGCATAAATGTTTTTGTTAATTTTATGTGGTGCTGAGCATTGAACACAGTGCCTCAGACATGCCAGGCAAGCGCTGTGCAGCTACAGCCCCACACTGGAGGAATTTTTTTATAGGCCTCTTGCCCTACTGGGAACATTTTGTGGCAGCTTCTTCCTGCCCCCATGTCTTGGCTGAAAAGGGTCCCTGCTACCAAGGTTTGGGTCCAGAGCAGAAAGGGGATGCTTTTGTTCTAAGAATAGAGTAGCTCAGCAGGGTCATTAGCTCTTCCCTGGGAAGGCACTAGAGGAAAAGGTTGAGATTTATAGTGCTTCTTCTGGTAAGAAAGTAGAGGCAACATGGAAGAGCAAAAATCAAAACTAAGCTCCTACATAGAGGGGGAATTTCATTTTTTGGAACCCAGGGACACTTAGCCACTGATCCACATGCCCAAGTCCTTCTTTATTTTTCATTCTGAGATGGTGTCTCAAAAGAATTGTGAAGGGCCTCGAGTTGCTTTGAGTTCTCTTGTCTCAGCTTCATGAGCCACTGGGGTTACAGGTGTGCACTGCCTTGCCCAGCCTGAAGGAGAAATTTCTGTCATATTCCTCTGCATCTCTTTATAGAAATCAGGGAGTCAATCTGCATGCTTGGATGTCATCTTCAGTTGACCGAGGGTCCAGAACTAGAGTCAGTCTAAATATTGCCATGGCTAAAAGTTTCATTACTTTGGAAAACTTTTATCAAAGACTTATAGTTTGAGAGAAGTAATATACAATCAAAAGCTCCCCAGAAGCTACATGAACGCAGCAATCCCTAGTGCAGAGGGAGCTGAGCTTCCCTTTGTTAGGTCATACTTCATATTACTTTGATCAGGTGTGGGCTTTCCCATGCTTACTCATTTGAGACTGATAGTGGGAGATGATGAAAGACCACTGGTTATGTCAGTTGTGAAAATTTTTACAGCATTCCTAGCTTTTCATGTGTTAATTTACCTTAAATAGATTACTTTAGAAAAAATTTTGAGAATTGGTAGATTGATAGCCCAGAGGTACTTTAAGCATAATTCCCACTTTCCTTTACCAATAACGCTGAAACCTGAGCTGGAAAGATGGAGGTAAAAGGAGAGTTTGAGAAAAGGTAAATGGTTGATTATTGATCTTTGTTTCACAGACAAGAATTTGCTCTCGCTGGCTATGAATTCTGCATTTCAACTTTAGAGGAAAAAATTGAACGAGAAAAGGAATTATCAGAAGATGTTATGTCAGGTAGGAAACCGGACTCTTCTGGATGTTGTGTTTTCTCCACAAAAGGCTTATGTCTGTATCAGGGAGGGTAAGATATCCATTGTTCACTGTGACTCTAATATTATGAAGTCTGGAATAAGATGGGATATTTTGTTTGAATGATTTGATAGCTCTTTTGTTTGTATTTTTTATTTGAACTGTTCTTTGAAGATGTGTTCATAAATTATCAGTCAATTTTTATCTATATATAACCTCTAAGAAATTGGGAAGCAGAAAGGGAAGGCCTTTCTCTTACCTCTTAGTTCAACTACTAGATTTCTTTCTTTCTTTTTTTTTTTGGTGGTGGTGGGGTGCTGGGAATTTAACCCAGAGCTTTGTGTATGTGAGGCAAGCCCTCTACCAACTGAGCTATATCCCCGGCCCCTCAACTACCAGTCAGAATGCAATAATTACCTTTCTTAATAGCAGCAGGTTAAGGAAAGACAGAAAGAAGCTTTGCGTTTTTTCCACACTTGTAGAAACTGGAAATGGAATGAGGTTGGCTGGAACCCTTCAAAGGGTGTGCCATTTTGGGTTTCTTAATTTTGTTTAAAGTATTGGGAGTTTTCAGATTTGACATTTGTTCAGTAACTTCTTTCATACCTGCTGTATGCCAAGAGCTAGTGAGATATTAGGGATCCCGTGGTCAAGTCTAGTTCATGAAGTAAGACACCACAATAGAGTTGTCTTCTAATTCTCTCTTGAACATACGTCAGTTTTTCTTCTCCATCACTCTACTGAAGCCACTTCTCTCAGAGTCACCAAATCTAGCAGTCATTTTCTCAATCCTTAGCTTTCTTATTCATTAGCAGCTTTGATTTGGGATGAATCTCTTCTACTGGAAATACATTTCTTTGATTTCGGGGCACCTTACTCGTGTCTTTCCCTTACTGACCTCAAGTGGTGGTGGACTTCAGAGCTGTCCACACTCTCCACTTTTCCCTCTGCCCTCATGCCCTAGGAGAGACCATGTACTCTCATACATTTTAGATTTACATCTTCAGCCCCAGCTTGCACCTGAATAGCAGACTTATGGGTATAATTGCCTACCTGTCATCTTGACTGGTGAATGGTCATCTCACACTTAACATATCTATAATGGATCTTTTCAATTCTGTCACTCACAAATTTGTTTCTCCACAAGTCAGTCCAGGTTAGTAAGTGGCACTAATAATCATCCAGTTGCTTAGCCATAAAGCTTTGGCCCAGTTGCTTTGGACCTATAAGGCCCTCTGTGATCTGTCCCCCACCAGCATTTCCTACATCATCCATTGCACTCTCCTTGCTCATTCCATTCTTACCACACTGAATCTCTGTTGTTCTTGCACATCCCAAGTTCATGCCATCTTCCTTTTTTTTTTATTTTTTTATTTTTGCAGGGGGTGGGGTAGTACCGGGGATTGAACTCAGGGGTCCTCAACCACTGAGCCACAACCCCAGCTCTATTTTGTATTTTCTTTAGAGACAGGGTCTCACTGAGTTGCTTAGCACCTTGCCATTGCTGAGGCTGGCTTTGAACTTGGGATCTTCCTGTCTCAGCTTCCTGAGATACTGGGATTACAGGCGTGTGCTACCTTATCCCACCATGCCATCTTTAAGGCCTTTTTGCTTAATATTTTCTCTGTCTAGATTGTTCTCTCATATTCTTCCATGGATAGCTGCTTCACTTTATTCAGATCTCTGCTCAGATATTTCTTCAGGGGCTTATCCTGACTAAAACAATCATCTCTTCCTACCTAGTATTATTTACCTCTTTAACTTTCCTTCATCATGCTTTAAAGTAGAGATCTGTGTTTTGTGCTTGTCTGAATTACCAATAAAAGTATATTTTTGTTCAAGCATTTTTAGTTTTTGTCTTTCCTATCAAAGAGGGATCAAGACATCATCTGGGGGCTGGGGCTGTAGCTCAGTGGTAGAGTGCTTGCCTTGCAAATGTGAGGCACTGGGTTCAATCCTTCAATCCTCAGCACCACATAATAAATAAATATAGTGTGTCTAAGAAATATTTTTTAAAAAATCTGTTTTGCTATTACTAAATCCTCAGAACCTATAGTAGTGCCTGACATATAATAGAAGCTCAGAAGACTCAAGAAAAATGAGTAAGCAAATACAATTTTAGTGTAGTGTGGAAGTGCTATAAGGAAACTAACAAAAGGTGCAAAAACAAATCTAACCATCAAGTGTGTGAACTAACTACTAGTCGAACGCTTGACCCTAGTGTAGGAGTGTATATCTATCTTTTTCAATTCCAAAAACCCAGTTATCATTTTAAAAAAATGAAGAAAAGCCTAAAGAAAAATGTAAAGGTCATCATCCTTAATCCTGCTGCTAAGAAAGAACTATTTTTTAGAGTATGTCTTTTTTGGCTTTTCCACTCATCCTGAGTGTTTTTTTTTTTCTTGGTGCTGAGAATTGAACCCAGGGCCTTGTGCATGCAAGGCAAGCATGCTACCAACTGAACTACATCCCCAGCCCCTATAACCTAATTTATGAGACTGACGCGCTACCTACTGCGCTAACGAGGCACCTCCTATAACCTAATTTAAAAAAAAATTTTTTTTTTTAGTTTTAGATGGACACAATACCTTTATTTATTTATTTATTTTTATGTGGTGCTGAGGATCGAACCTGGCGCCCCATACGTGCGAGGCAAGTGCTCTGCTACTGAGCCACAATCCCAGCCCTAACCTGATTTTTTAAAAAAATACAAATTTTAGTTGTAAATGGACCTTTATTTTGTTTATATGTGGTGCTGAGACTTGAACCCTGGGCCTCACACATGGCTAGGCAAGGGCTCTACCACTGAGCCACACCCCTAGCCCCCTAACCTGATTTTTAATAGCTAGTAAATGTAATATGGAAATACTTTTCCTAGATAAAGAAATTCTTGCTGGATAGAGCAAGCTAATTTCTATTGTAAACATATAATTTTATTTCTAGAGAAATAAATTCTTTCTCAGGTTTGTACAAAGCAAATCATTTATCAAAGAAAACATTACTAAAAATCATATTAAAAACTTGGTCTGACTGGGCATGGTGGTACATGCCTGTAATCCCAGCGGCTCAGGAGGTCAAGGCAGGAGGATTTCGAGTTTAAAGCCAGCCTCAGCAAAAAAGCAAGTTGCTAAGCAACTCAGTGAGACCCTGACTCTAAGTAAAATACAAAATAGGGCTGGGGATGTGGTTTAGTGGTCAAGTGCCCCTGAGTTCAATCCCTGGTACCAAAAACAACAACTACAAAAAACAAACTAAAAAGAAACCTGGTCTGGAGTCTTTGCTTCCCTGTGTTGTAGATCTATATGTGATTACTGAGGAAATGTGTATAAAAATCTATGTGAAAATATCAGTTACAAAATAGTATAATTAATAAGACCCTAATTTTCTAAAATACTGAAGATTAAATATAGGCAGAGAACAGGGGTTGAATGATCTTTATCAAAATGTAGACAGTGACTTTCCCTGATTGGTAAATTTATAGGAGATTTATATTTCATATGTTTTTCTGGATATTCTATAATTTTTTACTATAAATTTATATTTTTTCTCTTCAAACTTAATTTTTTTTTTTAAGTTGTTGATGGACCTTTATTTTATTTATTCATATGCAGTGCTGAGAATTGAACCCAGGGCCTCACGCATGCTAGTCAAGTGCTCTACCACTAAGGGGCAACCCCAGCCCTCAAACTTAATTTTTGTTGTTAACAATATATAGTATAAAAAAGTCAAATAGTATTTCAGGGCTTAATTTACAGTAGCATTTCCTTGCCACACTTCATTCCATCTATTTTCAACGCAACTAATTTCTTCTGATATTTACTTTCATATTTCTAAGTTATGTAAAATTTGCAATTTCTTGATTTATTATTTTAGGAAGCTATTGACTTATGGAAGAGTGAAGATTTAGCACAAGTTGTGCTTATGTACAAATATTCCCTTTGTTAAGTAGTGTTATCTGCTGAGCCAGGTGATGTGATTATATAACTATGTTTACAACTTTATGTACAACTTTTCATTTTTCTCTGGGATAACTTTTTTGGTTGCTTGGTTTTATATTTCTAGGACCTGTTATTCATTTTATCATAGTACTTGCTTTCTTCAGTTCCAGACCCTTAATGGTGTTCATGGAAGCTGGTTGGCTTCTCTCTCACTGGTATGTCTGGCTGTAGGCATTCAGTTGTCATTTCCCTTTTATGTGCTTAGTAACTTACCATTTTCTCTCTGCTTTGTATTGTCTGTAGTTTTTAAAAAAAATATTTATTTTTTAGTTGTAGGTGTACATAATACCTTTATTTTATTTTAATGTGGTGCTGAGAATCAAACCCAGTGCTTCATGTACGCTAAAAAAGCGCTCTACTACTGAGCCACACCCCAGCCCCTTGCCTGTAATTTTTTGGTATCATCTCCCTTGATTTTTCTCTACTTTCTTTAGCCTTATAGCTTTATAATGGCATATCTACATTGTAGTATAGTTCTCTGTTATTGGACATCAGTGTATTTATTTTTTTAAAATACATTCTTAGCATTGAACTTCTGGATCAAAAGTAATACATTTTAAGGTTGTTGATGAATATTGCCAAATTTTGAAATAACTGCTAGTTTACATTTTCTGTTTTACTATTTGTTTACTTTGTGATTTGGTCAAATTAATTAATTTCTTTGTGCTTTGATCTTTAGTGTGAGATTGAGTAATTTTCTCAGCAGATCTTTAGAATGATTGAATGAATTGATGTATATAAAGTATTATAATGATGCCTAATAATAATAGGTGCTCAAAAGTGTTAACTATTATTGGTTTTTATTGTTGTGATAAAACTGTGTCCCCCTTTTCCCAAAAATTCATTAATTTTTTTATAACCTTTGTAAGCCTGGTGATATGACATTGTTGTATAACCCAGCTTTTTTTTTTCTTCTCCTCCTTCGATAAGCAGTGAGGTGTGTATCATTTGTTTGTTTTCTTAAGTAAGACTATTAACCCTTGGTTT